AGATATCATAGGCTATATTCATTATATTAAACCGATAACATCTCAATTACATGTTTCATTCAAAAAAGCTACTTCGACACATTCAAAATCCCAAACAAACACAAGCGCCAAAGATAGTTTGGGATTATTTGAAAGCCACCAAAATATTACTCTCACTAGTTTTCTTTGTCTGTAGTTATGAACTATTGATGATTCCTCTTTTCACGAGCAAAAACGATTAATCTCGCGAAATAGCCTAGCTCGAATTAAACAAAGGTTTTTAGAATCAACAGCGACTGCGAAATAATAAACCAGAACAACACCTATCATACTACTGTTTGTTTCGAAAGAGTGGCCGAGTGACAGCTATCAGTAAATCCCTAACCTCATTTCAAAAAGTATGACAATGCAGAAAGAAGAACGAGATAATTTTCTCAAAATTTTGTATGATTAAAAAGTACTGAATAAAGTTCCAAAGACAAATTCAATGAAGAAAATAATTGAAAAAGGCTGAACAAAGATTGAAAGTGACCGCAAAACGAAAAGCTTACATGAAGCAGCAGACTAGCCGCAAGAAACGACAATCCTTGGCAATATGACACTTCCTCGTCGTAGAGTGAGTAAGCCTAAAGCGTTGATTAAACATTATCCTATATGCTTAGGATAGACATCATACCTTGCTGATTTTGTACAAAGATTCTTGACCTTCTCCTCCTGCTTCTTTGAAATTTTCGTGAGCTGGAAATGTTCGGTGGATATCTCTCAGAATAACTTGTTCAGAAGGGCAATCCTAAAAAGGAAAAAGTCAAGACTATTAGGAAAATCAAAGTTGCGATTACCTTCCCTAGAAGTAAATGGTAGGTGTTGACAAGTTCTGGATCGAGATGCACCTAAAAAAGAGTATACTAATATTTAGAAAACAATCTAAATGTGCAGCGTATAAGCAAACTCCTCAGCGCAATGGAAAAGTGTTGCCCACTTATCTATCTCTTAAATTACTTACTTCATGTGATCATGTGCAAGTAGTTTACAATCCGCCTTTCAAAAAAACAAGTGATGTGTTATTAGCAAAACGTAAAGAGAACACTTCGTAATTGAAACATGATAAGAAAGTAGGTACCTTAGCAAGCATCCTCCACACCTCTCCCCGTAAAACATCGGGGATACCGTTAAGGATTAACGATGAAACAATTTCTGGCTTCTCTCTAAAAATGAACAACATTTTCGTTACCCAATCAGTCACATATAATCCTCTGTGAAACAACCAACCCTCCTTCGTTCTTCTTCCACTCTTCAATGCACTCTGTCCACTGCTTCATCAGCTCTTCAGGGCAGTCCTTGCTAACATTTCCGGATCCTGAGAGAAGAGGCTCGTCGGAATCTATAATAGGTGGTATTTCATTTGTCTGGACTTAAACTACAACCTGAGTTGTTTCACAAGCGCGTTGTTGCTGTAGAAAATACTCAGCGCAAAGCACAATTTCTAATTGCAAAGCCACCCACCAGACTCGTCATCTCCAGTCGGCTGAATGAGCTGTGTTGGCATTCGACTAGGACTTCGGCCCAAGCGTTGTTTCGCGGAAATTCGATCCGTATCAGACTCCATTTTAACGAACACTAAACTGCCTCCCGATGCCTCGCCGTTCGTTGTATCTTCAGCGCGCTGAAATATGAATTTTCTGTGGCAAAGCTTTTTCTTCTTTCATCCGTCATTTCCGAAGGTTTTGGGACTCAGTTGATATTATTCCCTTTATCACAATAAGGAGGTTCAGGTTTGCGGGAAATTGATAGTGATAAGAAGAAATCTTAAACCAAGTGCAGAGATATCAGACCATATCAGAAGAGCAAAGCATGCTTTCAATACTGAATATCCAATTTTGACTGAACGGTCAAGGTATCCTAATTTGAAAGACATGAGTAACAATCCATGGTAGGACCAAAGAAGAACGCTGAACGTACGTCACTTTTCAAGACCACTAAATTGACATTGATGAATATAGAGAACTACGAGTTTCATTTTTCTGTATCTTTGTCCATCATCGCGAATCATCAAAGATTTCCTGATTTTCTTGGAGCAAAGCCGCTATGCCATGATTACGCAAATTTTTTCAAAAACTAAGGAAGATAAAATTACACTTCCATACGCAATGCCGATGTATCAGATTTCTCGATTTGTTAATTCGTCAATCCCAGGCAGTAGAGCCGTGGGAGTGTGCATAGCATCATACATATGATGGATAACATTTGATAAAGTGAAGAGAACACTTGTGTAAGCATAATTAGAACTAATATTCAACTACATTTTCCATTACAGCTTATCAGAGTAGCACAAAATAGATATGGAAGCCAGATAGAAACAGAATACTGTACAAAAATCTGCAAGGTTCCACATATAACCACGATCCGCGATCTAAACCTAAGAAAAAACATCGATACG